TATTAATTCATGTCATGCTGAAGCTACTACCCAACCTTGTTGAATTTACAGGCACTTTTGAAATTTTGAGAAGGGGGTAGTGGAAGTCACCACAAAATGGCTGCTATGGGAGTTAGGGCTAATCACAAAATGGCTGCCATAGGTGCTAGGATCAATCACAATGAAGAAAAAGAAGAAGAGATTTAATTTATAGCCCGTCCTTCACTCAGAGTCTCAGAGCGGTTACAATCTCCTTTCCTTCCCCCTCCCCACAACAGACACCCTGTGAGGTAGGTGGGGCTGAGAGAGCTCTGACAGAAACTGCTCTTTTTCAAGAACACCTCCGACAGAACTATTGCTTGCCCAAGGTCATCTACCAGCTGCAAGTGGAGGAGTGGGGAATCAAACCTGGTTCTCCCAGATTAGAGTCCGCGCACTTATCTACTACACCAAACTGGTTCACCAAACTGCCATTGGCTGCCATTGGGGGTGGAATTGGCTGTTTACTTTGGGGAGAGAGGTTGTTTGGTTTCAGTGTCTAAAGAAAGGGAAAGGTTTGCTTCCTATATGGCCACAGGTTGAGGCTGCTGAACTGTAACTCCCAAGAAAGAAATGCAGATTTCCAAACACTTGGAAGTATGAGATGGAAGCAGGGTTTTGCTTTTTGAAAAAGTGGTGCGGGAAATGATGTTTTCAATCTGTATATTGAAAACTCATAAACTTTTAAACATTTTAAAAGTAATTTTGTCAAAGAGGTTCAGGAACTCCATTCCAGTGAGCCCAAAAAAAAGCCCTGGCTCTGAACTGAATAGCACAGGCAAGTCCGATCTTGTAAAATCTCGGAAGCTAAGCAGGGTCGACTCCGGCAAGTACTTGGATGGGAGACCTCCTTGGAATACCAGCATTCGGGAGGCGGGGGCTCTCTCTCTCTCTCACACTCACTTGGATGAGAGATCTCCTTGGAATACCAGCAGTTGGGAGGCAGGATTCTCTCTCTCTCTCTCTCTCTCACTCACACACACACACAAATACAAAAAAATACAGAAAAAGAAACACAAATTTCTGTTTCACATATTTGTTTGCCTCAACAAAATTCCTCTGGAACTATAAAGTCCTGAGACTGAGGCAAAGCGTAGTGATATCAGCTCATACTTTATTCATGCACAGGAGAACGTCAGATACTTAAGCAGGACCCATGGCCCCCTTAGATTCCCGTTCTTAACCACACACCCCCCCACACACACACACACTACCCTGATAGGTTTATTTACAAACAACTCCCCATATTGGTTCCCTTTAGGATCCGGGCTGGCTGGTTGGCTAATCCTTGGATCTTTAACTTCTATTGTACCTAGATGCGAAGCTCCACCAGTCCGTATGACCTTGCGTGGGCCTAACCGTGTGCGCGGTCTCCCTGGGTACACAACAGGAACACTCACTTTTTTTCCTTTCAAAAAACAAACCATGGAAGAAAGGACAAGGGAAAAAATCCAGAACACTTATGTTGCCATGTAAAGTTTGGCTTCTAGAGGTGGCAAAACCGTTCCTGAATGACCACTCTGGAGCCATTTCTGAGGAGAAACTGTTACCTTTCGAATGCCTACCTTATGGGAATAGTTGACGGCTGTCTCCATTTCAGAGAGAATGCTGCTGATGTCATCGCTTTCGTAGATGCCTGCCCACCCGAGACAAAGCGACAGAACGCAATATGAAAGCGGGAAGCGGAACTCTTCAATGCTGCTAGCAAATGAATTAAACTCAGAAACAGATCAATAATCAACTCCCCACAGGGAAACAGCTTGCTCATGGCAACCCCAGAGATACTCCTGCCTTGACACTGCGAGGAATGTTCTGGGAATGTTTGTATCTCTTTATGAGCTGCGGTGGCTCAAGTGGTTAAGACGCTGAACTGCAGGCTGTGGAAGGTCGGTAGTTCAGCAGTTCGAGACCCGGGTGCCGCATGACGGAGTGAGCTCCCGTCTCTAGTTCCAGCTCCTGCCAACCTAGCAGTTCGAAAGCAAGAAATTGCAAGTAGATAAATAGGGACCACTTCGGTGGGAAGGTAACAGCATTCCGTGCAAAAGTAATTTTGTCAAAGAGGTTCAGGAACTCCATTCCAGTGAGCCCAAAAAAAAGCCCTGGCTCTGAACTGAATAGCACAGGCAAGTCCGATCTTGTAAAATCTCGGAAGCTAAGCAGGGTCGACTCCGGCAAGTACTTGGATGGGAGACCTCCTTGGAATACCAGCATTCGGGAGGCGGGGGCTCTCTCTCTCTCTCACACTCTCTCTCTTTCTCTCTCTCACACACACACACTCGAAAAATACAAAAAAATACAAAAAAAAGAAAACAAAGAAAAAGAAACACACATTCACATATTTGTTTGCCAACAAAATTCCTCTGGAACTATAAAGTCCTGAGACTGAGCCATGGTGTAGTGATATCAGCTCATACTTTATTCATGCACAGGAGAACGTCAGATACTTAAGCAGGACCCATGGCCCCCTTAGATTCCCGTTCTTAACCACACACCCCCCCACACACACACACACTACCCTGATAGGTTTATTTACAAACAACTCCCCATATTGGTTCCCTTTAGGATCCGGGCTGGCTGGTTGGCTAATCCTTGGATCTTTAACTTCTATTGTACCTAGATGCGAAGCTCCACCAGTCCGTATGACCTTGCGTGGGCCTGACCGTGTGCGCGGTCTCCCTGGGTACACAACAGGAACACTCACTTTTTTTCCTTTCAAAAAACAAACCATGGAAGAAAGGACAAGGGAAAAAATCCAGAACACTTATGTTGCCATGTAAAGTTTGGCTTCTAGAGGTGGCAAAACCGTTCCTGAATGACCACTCTGGAGCCATTTCTGAGGAGAAACTGTTACCTTTCGAATGCCTACCTTATGGGAATAGTTGACGGCTGTCTCCATTTCAGAGAGAATGCTGCTGATGTCATCGCTTTCGTAGATGCCTGCCCACCCGAGACAAAGCGGCAGAACGCAATATGAAAGAGGGAAGAAGAAGAAGAGAAGAAGAGATTGGATTTATACCCTACCCTTCACTTGGAGTCTCAGAGTGGCTTACAAACTCCTTTCCCTTCCTCCTCCCCACAACAGACACCCTATGAGGTGGGTGGGGCTGAGAGAACTCTGACACAAACTGCCCTTTCAGGAACAGCTGTGCCAGAGCTTGTGACTGACCCAAGGTCACATCAGCAGGTGCAAGTGGAGGAGTGGGGAATCAAACCCGGTTCTCCCCAGATTAGAATCCGCACACTTAACCACTACACCAAACACTTCAATGCTGCTAGCAAATGAATTAAACTCAGAAACAGATCAGTAATCAACTCCCCACAGGGAAGCAGCTTGCTCACGGCAACCCCGACGCTGCGAGGAATGTTCTGGGAATGTTTACATCTCTTTACGAAGGCCCAGCTAGGCATAACAGTGGCAAGTTAAATAGAGAAATTACTGTGAGGATTGGTCAACTGAAGCTTAAAATTCTACTATGCCACAGTGCGGTATAGTGGTTAGACTGGCAAACTACAACTGGGGAAGCCTAAGTTCACATCGCCCTCAGCAATGAAGCTCACCTAGGATGGCCGGCTTCAAGTGGGGAAAAGGGCCAACTCTAAAACTCTAATTATAAAACATACAAATATATATATATGTATTTATTCACCATAAATTAAAATAACAAACAAGGGCCCATTCAAACCTCATATACAAATACAAAAACATAAACATACAAGGGCTAATAAGATAGACCTAACGTGTTTCGGCCAGCTCACTGGGGCGCTGTAGGGACAAAACAATGTTTTTGTGGGGGTGGGGGCAGAACGCTTCTTGGAGAAAGGACAGGATAAAAACCAATCAATAGAAAATCAGTTTTTAGACTTGGAGAATCCCATTTTTTAAAAATGGAGAAAAATATGTAAGTCAAGGAATGCACTTCTCTGCAGCCCCTTTGTCCAAGAGGTTTCTTCAAGGAGAAGGGAGCGGGTACTATTTGGATGAGGGGAACAGCTAAACCCTCCTTCTCCCTCAGCACTTCAAATCAGCTGCCAGTGTGCTGTGTGGCACATGAAAGAGGGACCCCCCCACACCAGTGTTCCCTCTAAGCTGAGTTAGTGTGAGCTAGCTCACAGTTTTTAAGCCTGCAGCTCACACCATTTTTATCTTAGCTCAGGAAGGATGGCTCCAGACCAAACTAATTTATGCAGTAGCCAAACCGCTTGCTCACAACTTTAATGCCAGTAGCTCACAAAGTAGAATTTTTGCTCACAAGACTCCACAGCTTAGAGGGAGCATTGCCCCCCACTGGAGTAAACTCTGAGTTAGGTAGGACCAATTTTTTTTTTTTAAAAAAAGACCACCATCGCACCTGTTTCTCCAAACCAGTGAAACCGGCCACCGGCAGCCCGCACAACGGTCTTAAAAGCAAGTGCTGTTTCTTCTGGGCTTGCATAGCGTGGCGGGATATCACCATCCAAGAGAGAGTCGTCGGTGCTGAACAGAGAGACATGAAGCTGCAGATCACACCCTCTGCAGCTCTCGGCCATATAAGAGCTAATCACGTGCTAAAAGGCAGAAAGAAAATGTTAGGGCCAAAATGACATGTGGAGTTGGGATTCCATGACAGGAACTGTGGCTGGATTATCAAGTGTGAGTCAGAGCTGCCAAGCTGGGGACAGTTCGATCTCCCCCAGTACATACCTCCATGTCAAGTTCTTCTGCACACGCAAAACTAACCTAGGCTGCGGTCACATGGAGCATTAGGCATGCTAGAGAGACGGAAGATAGGCGGATTTTCCGGGCATGATCTAACCGCCACATCTGGGAAGCGTAGAGCTCCCGTGGCGAACCCGAGGCTTCCCGCCGAAGCCGCGCGGTTAAAAACTAGTACCTCGGAGGTACTAGTTTCCGGTAACCACGGGGCAAGGGCGGGCATCTGATTACGTTTCCGGTGGTAGTTCCGGCGCCCGCCCATGCCCCCTCGTATAAAGGTGTTTTTTTTAAACTGTCCATGGGATGCGCACAAGCACCCAACGGGGCATGCGCACACTTTGGTGTCCGGAAAACAAAACACCCGTTTGCCGCGCCGCTTCTTTGCCGCGGCGCAGGATTGTGGAGTGCTCAGCACCTCCCCCCTTCCACGGGACCTCCACGGAACGTCTGCTGGCGCAACCGCGCGTTATTTTGCCCTGGGGCAAACAGCCACGCCTCCCCCCCGCGATATCCGGCCCATGTGACCGGGGCCCTAGATCAGTTCTGGCGCTACGACAAGTAATTGTTGACATATCAAAGTAGAGACTGGGAGTCGTGCTTACTGTCTCTTGATCAGGGATGCCCGTGGTCAGCAGGTATATCCCCTGGGACTCATGCTTGTCTTTATCTCTGAAATCCACCTCCACTGCTCTTCGGAAAGCGCTCATGACATTCCGAGTGCCTTCACACTTCAGGGCCAGCACCCATCTAGAAGACGTATGTCACAGAAACAATAAAAAAAAACACTGAAAGCTCTCAGGTGGCTTTGCTAACCTCAGGCACCAACACGCAACTGGCAGCCCAGATTCCAAATCCTGTAAGTAGCTTTCGACATTTCTTAAAAGCTCGGAGAAAGGAAGAGCGAGCGAATTGTACTTCCTGTTAACGAGAAGCTGGGTAAAGGAGCTTAAATAGGACACGAGAGACATAGAATCAGTTTTGCTGTCTCCCTGATGCCAGTCCTTTATCTTCGGCCTTCCCTCCCACACTGATTTCTCAAAATGAAATGACCCTTGGGGCCCTTTCAGGTCAGGAAAATAGCCTGGAAGACAGGGAAGTGGGACCCCTTTCCCTCATTCACCACAGCCCGGATCCAAACTGGGAACCTTCACGCTTGGTAAACAAGTTCAGAGAAAGAAAATCGCAGCTAACATGTGACTGATCCACGTCAAAAATTGTGACGTGTTGTTTGACCCTCGGATTCCATTTTGAACCCCAAACTCCACCTCTGGGTACCTAAGCAGCAGGCTCCACAAGGCAGCTGCTATAATGCACCTTCCTTAATGGGCCCAAAAATCTTGTCTGCCTAAGTACGGGTATTCTGGGAAGAATCAAACTCTCCCTTGGAATCATGGAATCAACCAAGAAAATGTGGAGGCTGTCTCCCACTTTGAGATAAACAATGCTCTCTCAAACGGCTCTACAACTCCCCTGCATCAGCCGGTCATGAGTTCAGGACATTGCCCTAAGCAAGGCTTTCTTCTCTGGATGTGGTTACAAGTCATTATATCCAGATTCCTTTGGGCAAAACTGTATCTTTTAGTTGGGTAGCTCCGGGAAATGTGGAGCTCCTTTCTTGGCTGCAAGGGTGGACATGCTGACACTCCCCAGTCAGGACACCAAAGTCAGGAGATCCGGGCCGTGCAGGACCTTATGCAGTTCCACAGGGCCCGCAAGATGGAGCTCTTCCGCCAGGCGTTCGAGTAGGAGCCGCCACCGCCACTATTCTACCACCAAGGTGGCAAGTCATCGGCTGCCCTATAAGAACGGGGGCAAGCGGGCCCTGGCAGAAGTTTGAGACAGTGTAGTGGAAAACCACGCTACTGAGACAGCTGGCCACCAAACCTGGGGGGGTTGTCCCCATCTTGGATGATTAATATAGGTATAGCACCGTATTATTGGAAGGTTTTATTGTGATTTTAAATGTTCTATTTATTATTATTGTTGTTGTTGTTGTTGTTGTATTTTGCACTCGGCTTTGCCGCATGTGAGCCGCCCTGAGCCTTTGGGAGGGCAGGATATAAATCAAACTAATAAATAAATAAATAAATAAGCACTGAGAACACACTGATCTTATGCTGAACCCATTCTACACTCCCTGCCTCAGTTTGGTGTAGTGGCTAAGAGTGACGGACTGTAATCTGAAGAACTGGGTTTGATTCCCCATGCCTTCACATGCAGCCAGCTGGGTGACCTTGGGTCAGTCACAGTTCTCTCAGAGCTGCCCTCTTAACAGCAGTTCTCAAAAGAGCTCTCTCAGACCCACCGACCTCACAGGGTATTGTTGAGAGAGGAAGGGAAGGGGATTGTAAGCCGCTCTGAGACTCCAAGTGAAGGGCAGGGTATAAATCCTCCTCATAAGAACATAAGAGAAGCCAACGCTGGATCAGGCCAATGGCCCATCCAGTCCAACACTCTACCACACAGTGGCCAAAAATGCCAGGTGCCATCAGGAGGTCCACGAGTGGGCCGCCTCCTCCTCCTCTTCTTTCTCCTTGGGATCCTGTCCTGTAGTTATCCCTTTAACTGTTCCTGTTTTTCTGATACCAAATATAGATTCGGGTGGGGAGCTGTGTTGGTCTGAAGCAATAGAACAAAGTTGGAGTCCAGTGGCGCCTTTAAGACCGACAAAGTTTAATTCTGGGTATAAGCTTTCATGTGCATGCACACTTCATCAGATACCCAGAATTAAACCCTGGTGGTCTTAAAGGTGCCACTGGACTCAAACTCTGTTCTGATACCAAGCATGTTTGGCATCTCAAGCCTACTCAAGAAGTTTAGCGCCCTTGTGGTTCCCATTGACCTGAAACCAGGTACCATCCAAAGATGCTGCTCACAGGAAATAAGTAAACAGAAGAGACTAACTCAGGCCTTTTACCCATGAGACCTTACTTAGGAGTGTGTGTGTGTGGGGGGGGGGATTACAATTAAGTTTACCTACCTCCAGGCATGCTCTAAGTTGTCTGGGTGCGAAGGAACCATTTCCGGTTGCCAGGGCTTAACATCTTTTCCAAAACTGCAAGGAACGCAGCACAAAAAAAGTGAACGACGAAACAAAGGAACACAGCCTGAGGAGGCCGCCATCGGAGGCTGCTTGGCATTGTTGGAAATAAATAAATAAATAAAAAGAATGACTTGCCTAGATCTAAAGTGTCAATCTTCAGCATAAATGTTGCCCAATTTTACTCACGCTATGATATTGAAGCAGTCCTTGCTTGCGATCTGCTCCTCCAGCACAAGCCGCAGGGAATGTTGGATATGAATGATGTACGGAAGATTTGTTACGGAGACATCAATAAGGAGAACGACCCTACAGGAGAAATGCCAGCACTGAAAAGTCAGCCTTTTATTTCCCCACTTGCTATATTTTTATTGGGTTGTTTTTTTTTTGCTGCATGCTTTACTTGCTTTGACTGTTTCTGTTTTGTTTGGTTGTTAATTACCCGGTTTTATTTTTCTGCCTTGTTTTTGTTGGCTTTGGTGGGCTTTGAGTCGTTGACTTTGCCGCTGCTTTTTTATCTTGTGATTTTAAAAGGCTGTTCGCTTTGAAAGCCTCCCAGAAAATCCTGGCAGACAGTGGGTGCTTACGAATCTATATCTGGATCAGGGTAGCTGCTTTGGGGGTGTCCCCTCCCACTTCCTCCTACTTTTTCAATACCTTGGTAGTGAACTCTGCCATGTTTTGTTTCGACATACAGTCTTCTCTCCAGCCCCACGGCAAACAGGTTGTGTGAGTTCGCAGTGGAAAGTGACTAACCCAACTCATCCTGCACGCAAGTTTTCAACATTTTGCAAAGGACAACAGTTCGCTGACCTCACGGGGAGATAGGATAACGAATGGGTATTTTTAACTACCAATGCATCCGGTACTATTGAATGTGTTTTTAAGAGGATAATTGTGTAATTTTATTGCATGTGCCTAGATTATTTCAATGTGTTATATTTTATTGCACTGTTGTGCCGTGTAAGCCGCCCTGAGCCCGCATGCGGGGAGGGCAGGATATAAATGAAATAAAATAAATAAAAATAATAATTCATTTACCTCCTTTCGCAAACTGTTCCCCACATCCTTCTACTACCAATGGAGAGCCATTCGATGCGTCTCTCATACCTCCCCACCAGCCTGGTCAGCTGCTTCTGCAAGCAGAACACAAGCATAGCTGAGATCACATGAAGATGAATATACACTGGCAGCTGAATCTACCTGGGTAGTGGGCCCTTTTCCTTGGCACTTCTTTTGAAAGGAAACCCCCATCCCCCCAGCATTGCTTGAGAAGAGAGCGTCTTCTGCCAGTCACTAGAAGCAGCAGTTTCCTCCCTCTGCAACATCCTTCCACAAGGCTACTGGTCCTTCACCTCTGGCTTCCAGAAGTCACAACTGCACCTTGAGACTTGGGGTGGGTGAGTTTTGAATTTGGGGAACAACACAGCAGCTGTTCATCTTTGGAGTTTTTAATTAAATTCTCTTTGTTTTGCCCAGCATTTTGTTTAAACAAGGCTGCCACTCACAAAAAAAACCAGGCAAGTATCTTTGTGGCCTTGCTGTCTGCATATCAATACTCTGGCCACTTGATGCCAGGACAATAATAATCAGAGCGGACACTGGTGGTCGGCATCACAGGGCAACTGCTGAGGTCCCATCCCAGCAGGGGGTTTGCTGCTGACCCCTGAAGCCTCCCGACTACTCCTTTCGACTGTCCCTGCCTGCTTGACTGTTGTCTTTGCAAGAACAAGCTGTGAGAGGTGGTGCAGCCTCTTTAGGAGGAAGAACGGATCAGGCCCTTTCCGCACTAGACCTTTAATCCTGGTTCAACGCTGTCTCCTAGTCTCCTACTAGCTAGTCTGCACTACACTCAAGTTCACCCCTCTTTTTATCCCAGTTTTTTTGTCGATTCTGAATTATATTGTGGTCACCCCAGTGTCCGATCCTCCACGCATTCAGATGAACACACGTGTATAAAGCAGTAGTGTTTATTAAAGCAATGAAGAAGCTAGAACAACAGGAGTGTTTAGAATGACCCAATAGTGGAGGGCACAAGATAATAAACAGATTCATACAAAGACATAACCAATCAATATGGTTCCCGCTTTCACGGGTCTGTTAAACCTCGCGCCGAAAAGCCTGGGAGCCCAACGGCCTGAAACAGATAAACAATTATTTCATTCCCATGCGCTAGCTCATTACAGATAACAGCAAAAGACACCACTCCGCACCTGTTAACCTTGGAAGATAATACGTTACAAAGCATACTACTAGCGTTCATAGAATGGAATGTCGGCATCAAGCAATAGCAGGGGGAAGAAAGGCTGGCATCAAGGGAGTATACAAACATTACACAGAACTCTTTGGCAGCTAGCTGACACCCAGGTTCAGACGGCTGCTGCCCCCGGGGGTATATGGATCCTGTTTTGCCACGGGCTTCCCCGCAATCCACAGTGGCCCCGGTGCAGATTTGAGTGTAGATTTTTTAACTCCGTTTCGATCCTCCCTGCCCCTTTCCCGCCATACCTAGGACATTAAATCCGGGTTTACTCTTTGCAATGCAGAATTTATAACCTGGGGCAGGCGAGCAAATTGGAGCGGGACAAAATCAGGTGCAGAAAACAACAGGTGAACAGAGATAACAGCAAGGTAAACGGCCGCAAGTTGAAGACGGAGAAAACCTGAGGTCCCAGTGCAGAAAGGGTCAGAGTCAACCAATGATGAGTGGAAAGACAGTCGGAGGTAGAGCTCACTGAGAGCATCTCACCCAGGGGCCTTGGATGCACCTATACAGGCAGGGTCCCCATTTCCTTGAGCTCACCTGGTAGTCGTACAATATCGGTGGATCTACGTGGACATTTTTAACGGTCCCATCGTGCCACTCAAACTGCATCATCGCTTTCTGAAAGGAGGAAGGAGGGAAAATCCCAGAGTTAATGATGTCTGGATCACGTGAGAAGTCAAGCGGAGCTGGACAGGATGGATGTTTCTTGAGGCTCCGACTTGGCAGCATCTCTCTGGCTCCACTCTCAGTTCAAACGCCTGAACACAGAGAGGGTGTGTGGACCAGCGGGGGGCTGCCTCTCTTCCCTCTGCTTTTGTGAAGGCTGCTCAGAGGGCAGAGGGAAGGGGATACCTCTGGATTCAGGTGTTCACAGCAATTCCATTCCAGTCCATACCATTCAATTATGCTTAATAACAAGGGGGAGCCTCAGAATAGACCAAGCATCCGGAAGCACCTTAAAGTCTAACAAAAGTTGTGGCAGGGTAGGCGCTTTCATGAGTCACTGAAGAAGTGAGCACTGACTCACGAAAGCTCCTCCCCTGCCACAAATGTTAGTCTTCAAGGTGCTTCTGGACGCTTGGTCTATTCTGCTGCTACCGACAGACTGACACGGCGACCCATCTTGATCTATCGCCATGGAAGGGGGAGACTTACGAGCAATGTTCCCTCTAATCCCCTCCCCCCTCCACTGAGCATAGCAGTTCACATCCGGAACAGAATATAACTGCTGCAATCTGAAAACGGACAATGGGCAGTGCGAGACCAGATGCGGCTCCAGACTGCTGCCAAGCGGGGCTTCCTGTGTTAATGAGCCACTGCTCACCTGCACAGCTTAGAGGGAAACTGCGTTAAGAGGACTCGTAGGGAAAAAAACATCCCTCTTCTGGCCCCCCACTCCCTCTCTCTACCTCTGGTCTGCAGTCCCCAGTCCTCCTGGTCATCCATCCCCCCCACCCAGCCAATACCTGACATATTCCTCGTGTGTCTGCTGAGACTTATGAGGAAGGGTTCAGGGATGGACACAGGAATGGCTCACTTAGAAAACCTTAAGCACACAAGCCGGTTTTGGAAAAAAGCTTTTAACTAGGATTTCCCCACTCACTTCATGTAGAGTTGATGACACTGTTTTCTGAAGAATCGGGACAAATTCTTCCACAGGGGAAAATGCATTTGGTGCCAGAACTTGGTACAGGCTCAGCTTCTTGGCTGCAGCAAAAAGAAAAAAGAAAGTAGAAATTGTTTCCGTCAGATCCCAGGCTGGGTCTGAACAGCGCCCTCGTTGAAAGGCTTGGTCAGTGCTTGGATGGGAGACACACACCCCTCACTTATGCCACTGTAATTTCCGTGGGAGAAGGAAGGTGAAATACAAATACACATCAACAAGCAATTAAGCACTGAGTGACGTTTGTCTTATTCCCCACAAAGCCCCTCTGGCTTACCTTACCTTTCAGCCCATTGGTTTTTAACCATTCTGCTGAAGTTTTGGCCAGGAAATCTGGGATTTGTATCACAAGAGGTCCTTCGTGGTTCGGTGGCTTTGGCAGCAAGCTGGCCGGAGAAAATGGCACAACCTCTGTGGAGCTCTAAATAGATATTTAAAATTGGGACCATCTGAGCGAGCTGGATTAAAAAAACAACAACAACACACACAAAACCACCCAGTTCTAGTGAAACCCTGGCCCCCCACATAAAGGATAGCGTGGAGCTAGAAAAGGTGCAGAACATGGGAATCAACATGGCCTAGGGGGTTGTACAGCCTTCCCTTTGAGGGAAAGGTGCAGGATATGGGCCTTTTCAATTTACAAAGAGACATCTTAGATGGCATTTGATAAAGTTTATAAAAGTATGCATGGGGCGGGGAAAGCAGACACAGAATTTTCTCTCCTCAAAAAAAAATTAGAATCCAGTCACCTAATCAAGCTGTTGAGAAGGAGAGACAAAAAGTAAGCACTTCATCACACTGTCCATGACTAACTTGGCCCCTAACCTGAGATGGCCTTAAAAGGAGGATTAGACCCAGACCCAGAGAACAGTAGCTATTGCCCATGAAGGATGAAGGGAAGCTCCCTGTACAGGGGCAGTATACCTTTGAATATCAGTTGTTGTTGGAGGGTAGGAACAGGGGTAAGGGCCACAGTGGCTCAGAGGTTAAGATGCTGAGCTGCAGACCAGAAGGTCTGTAGCATGGCAGTTCGAGACCCGAGTGCTGCGTGACAGAGTGAGCTCCCATCTCTGGCCCCAGCTCCTGCCAACCTAGCGGTTTGAAAGCAAGAAATTGCAAGTAGATAAATAGGTACTGCTTTGGTGGGAAGGTAACAGTTTTCCACGCACCTTGGCGTTTAGTCTTACATGGTCACATGGAGAAGACTTCCAACAGCACCGGCTCCTCGGCTTGGAAATGAAGATGAACACCGCCCCCTAGAGTCGGATTCGACTAGCTCTTGAACAAGGGAAACCTTTACCTTTTTAGGAACAGGGGTAGGCTTCGGCCTTTGTGCCCTACATGGAGGCCTTCTGGGGATATCTGGCTGTATCGGGGGGAAACAGGTTGCTGGACTAGATGGACCACCGGTCTGATCCAGCAGGGCTCTTATAATCTCAACAAAAATCAATCAGGCACTTACCTCTGGCATTAAACTAAAACATGCATGGCCCACGACCCTTCCCTTATAGATTTTATTTATGATGTTGAGCAAGTCCTCAGATTTTCTGCGCTCACCAAGGATCTTGTCCAGATCACTGCTGTCATAACTCTGAGGTCACCAGGACACAGAAAGGGAACAAAAAAACAATCAGCTTTCTTTTTAATTGCTTGTCACTGTTGTAACATCAACACAGTGGAATCGTGGGAATAAAATGGGGAGTCAAGCCCCCAGAAGAGGAGGAGGTGGAGGAGGAGGAGATTGGATTTATACCCCCGCCCTTCACTATCCGAAGGAGTCTCAGAGCAGCTTACAATCTCCTTTCTCTTCCCCTCCCCACAACGGACACCCTGTGAGGGAGGTGGGGCTGAGAGAGCTCTTTTGAGAACTGCCCTTGAGAGAACAGCTCCGAAAGAACTTATGACTGACCCAAGGTAATACCAGCAGCTGCAAAGTTCTCAGTACGCCCATGGAAGAGTAGTACGCTCAGGGAATAAGAACCTCCTCGTGGTCCCCAGCCCAAGATCCAGCTGTCCTCAACCACGGCCAGAGCTTTTTGGGCAGAATTACTACCTTTCTCCAGGGCAGGTAAGACAGAGATATTCCACCAGGCCTTCGGATGAGGACAGGGTGACATCTGGCACCCTCCTATACTCTCCCCATCCCTCAGAACCTCCCTTTTCCCTGCCATCTTGGACTGCGTGCTGTTTTATTTATTGATCTGCTTTGGGGTAGTTTTAATGTTGGTTTAAATTTATTGTATGCTATTCTGTTGTAAGCTGCCCTGAGCCCTACTTGTAGGGAAGGGTGGCCTCGTAAATCTAATTTAAAAATAAATACATGTGGAGAAGAGGGGAATCAAACCGGGTTCTCCCAGATTAGAGTCCCTGCCCCTAACCACTACACCAAACTGTAGCACAAATGGACTCTTTTTATTCCAGAAATGAATCAGATTTTATTCTATGACTGATAAGAGTATCTGCAGGCACTAGTAGGGGCGTGTTGCAAGCCTGTCTGGGGTCCAGAGGAAATCGTGTTTGGGACCTTGTATCTCAGATGACGCATGACCCAAATCATTGGCTCCCAAGAACACTGCCCGTTTTGTTAATTCCTCGAGTGATGGGGAGTTGGCATCCCAAGAACCTCTCAGAAAAGAGCAGCCTCGTGGCTGGGGCACAAAGGGAGCCCCCCCCCCCCGTCAGACCTACCTGGTCTCTTGTGGAGCAGCTGTGGTAATGGCCGCCGACAGCTTCAGTGACGCTTTTTAAAACAGCCTGCGTGTTCAGGGCAAGAAAGGAAATTATTGGCCACAGAAGCAGGACGGCCTATAGACAGGGTTGTCAACTTCCAGGTAGTGGCTGGAGATATCCTAGGATTAGAACTGATTTCCAGGTGACAGAGGTCAGTTCACATGGAGAAAGTGGCCATTTTGGAAGGTGGATTCTATGGCGTCATACCCCATCGGAGTCCCTCCCCTCCCCAAGCCCTCCCCCTCCCCCCTCCTCAGGCTCCACCCCCAAAATATCCAGGGATTTCCCACCCCAGAGCTGGCAACCCTGTGACTAGACCAGCTCCTCGTCATACTCCTATCCCACAAAAAGGGCTCAGCTGCTATGTACAGACAGGTGGGCAGACGACTGTGAAGTTAAGGTAAAGGTAAAGGTTCCCTTGTTCGAAAGCCAGTCGAGTCCGACTCTAGGGTTGCGGTGCTCATCTCCGTTTCAAAGCCGAAGAGCCAGCGCTGTCCGAAGACATTTCCGTGGTCATGTGGCCGGCATGACTAAACGCCGAGGTGCACGGAACGCTGTTAGCTTCCCACCAAAGCGGTACCTATTTATCTACTTGCAATTTCTTGCTTTCGAACTGCTAGGTTGGCAGGAGCTGGGACCAGAGACGGGAGCTCACTCCGTCATGCGGCACTTGGGTCTCGAACTGCCAAACTACAGACCTTCCACTGCCTACAGTTCAGCGTCTTAACCACTTGAGCCACCGCAGCTCCTACTGTGAAGTTAGAAAAATGTAAAAAGATCTCCCCCAAATCAGTCTTTGCTGCTGTTTGTCTAGTTTATTATTTTATTTCTGTTATTTACTTCATTCAGGCTACACCTTTCTTCCCAATGGGCACCCAAAGCATCTTACGCAGCTTTCCTCTCTTTCATTTAATGCTCGTAACAACATTCTGAGGTAAGTTAGGCTGAAAGAGAGTGACGAGGCACAGGTGGCTTGGACAGGGGATTAGACAGATTCATGGAGGGCGTCTCTGTAAGGAGATACCAGCCGTGGTGACTAAAGGGAACCTCCATCTTCAGAAGCAGTAAACCCCTGAACCCAGTGTGCCAGGAGGCAACACCAGGGGAAGGCCTCGGCCTCCGTGCCCTGTTGTCAGACCTTCAGAGGAATCGGTTGATCACTCTGTGAGAAGGGATGCTGGACTAGATGGACCACTGGTCGGATCCCGCAAGGCTCTTCTGACGTTCAGAGAGCTTCCGTGGCAGAGTGGGGACTCCAGCCTGTGTCTCCCAGTTCCTAGTTCGACGCGCTAAACGCCATACCACACTGCCTCTAGTTGCCTCAGCCTCATCCCCACCCATTTATATGTGCAGGTGGCACATAACTCTTCCTGGCAATAAAAGGGAAACCTATTTTCAGAGCCATCAAGGAGAAATTAAGCTTATGTGACACAAATTGCCTGAGAGATTTATGCGTATAAATAATCTACTTGTGCTGCGATTGTTCCCATGATCCACACAGATCCACACAGGCAGGATCATCCACCCCCTGCGGAACTTGAATGCATCTTTTAATGTAGATGCGCATCTGCAACTGGCGTAGAGATGTCTCATGGTTAGTGTGCTGGACTGAGCTTGGTTCACATCCCAGCGTTTGGGGGTGGAGCCTGGGGAGGGTGGAGTTTGGGGAGGGGAGGGGCTTCAGCAGGGCACAAGGCCATAGAGCCCGCCTTCTCAAGCACCCATTTCCTCCAGGGGAACTGATCTCTGTTGCCTGGAGATCCATCATAATAGCAGGGGATCTCCATGTTGGCAACTCTACTTATGGATCTCATTTGTCTTCTGTTATACTCCACCTTTTTGAGCTTTGTGCACTTTTGGAATTCGGACACAAGTTGGTAGGTGCTAGAGCTACAGTGGCTCAGAAGTTAAGATGCTGAGCTGCAGACCAGAAGGTCTGTTGTTTGGCAGTTCGAGACCCGAGTGTGCTGCGTGACGGAGTGAGCTCCCGTCTCTAGTTCCAGCTCCTACCAACCTAGCAGTTCGAAAGCAAGACATTGCAAGTAGTTAATTAGGTACCACTTCGGTGGGAAGGTAACAGCGTTCCGTGGGCCTCAGCGTTTAGTCATGCCAGTCACATGACCATGGAGGAGTCTTCAGACAGCGCTGGCTCTTTGGCTTGGAAACGGAGATAAGCACCGCCCCCTAGAGTCGGATTCAACTAGTTTTTGAGCTTAGGGATGTCAGACCCTACTGGTGGGGGTCTCCTGCTGCCAGGCCCCACCTCCCCCAAAAAGGGAGGAATGCCCAGCATTTCAGCAGCATGCCTATGTGACCCGGAAGGGACATAGGCACGTCGGGAACATTGGGGGGACGCTCTGGTTTTTGGGCAAAAACTCTGTGGTAGAAGCTAATTTTGCCATAGAGTTTTGCTCCCAAACCAGAGCATTGCCCCCCCCCACCATGTCCCTGACGTGCCAATGTCACATCTGCGTCATGTTAGGGTCACCAGGTCCAATCGCCATGCTGGTGGGGGGATTGGGGGGCATTTGGCATTGTGCGATGTGCATATATCACCCAGAAATGAATGTTGGTGCCATCAGGGGCAATGCCCTGGGTTTTGGACAAAACTGCGGTATAATCACCCTCAAACCATAAAGTTTTGCCCAAAACCAGAGTGCAACAACCCCTCAATGTCACTTCCGGGTGACATCAGCTCGCTGCAGATTCCATCTCCGTTGGGGGTGGGTGGGGAGAACTTCCTCCCACCAGTCAGCTGGCCGCTGGCGGGCAGGATCCAGAGAAAGCAGGGGGTGGTAACCCTTGGTCACATAGGCACGCCACTGAAACGGGAGACGTTCCCTCCCTGCTCCCAGTAAGCGTGTGCGCACACCCATTCCCCGCCATCTGCAGCTCTAGTAGGCGCAACCTCAGAATGGTTGGCACATGAGGGGGAGCCACACACAAAAAAGGAAGGCCAAGAGCAGGGGAGAAGAGGGCTAATTTTAAAGAAATACACTGGGAAAGTGGAGTGAGGGAGACTAAAACGAACACCAGGGGCACAGCTGCTGCTGAAACAATATTTTAATCTGCACCGCTACCTGTATCTTCAGCGGCCAATCAGAAGCCCCGCTGGGCGAATGCGCCACCCGGCCCCACGCACTTGCTAAAAATACTTGGTGGGCACCAGAAAGGTGTTGGCGGGCACCACGTTGGGGAGCCCTGGTGTATAATGATTTCATTGAAAAGTAATACAGAAGCATGGTAAATATGCGCCACACAACAGTGGTGTCAAGGTCTCTAGGTCTGCTTCAATAGGAACCCAGTGGGAGAAGCCCAAAAGGACAACTTACGGGAGGCACCTGGCTGCTGCACTCGTAGGCCACCGTCTGGATCAGCAGATCTCTCCCCAGCGTACATTGCTGGATATAATCAGACAAGATTTCAGAGGACTGATCTGGGCTGGTTTAAAACATACGTAAATATCAGTTCAGCAAATGGAAGACAGAAATGGACAGAGACATTGCCGTATTCCTCTGTGCCCAACCCACTAAACAAAAGGTTCAAAACTGCAACGCTCTCCTGTGTCCATGACAAAGCTAATGTCGAAAAGCGGTTGGCCTCTTGCCCTACGATCGACGGAGAGACTGTTTTATAAAATTAGTGTAGCTCATTGTCTGTGTACCCCTTCAGAATAATAATTCTGTGCTGTCAAGTGGCAGGCAGGTTATAGCAACCCCTCAGGGGGCTTTTCAAACTTCTGGATACCCCTTATAAGGATATTTATTTCCTCTGGGTCCAGTATAGCCAATTACCACTTGATTTTCCTCTACATATATATTTTCCCCCTTAACCTCTTTTTGGCTGGTTGTGGGTTAATTCCCCCCCCTTTCCACCCCTACAGATTTCCAAGAGAAACCTGTGGCCTGATTCTGCATCTTCTTATGCTTACTTGAACAGTGATTAAGACTCTTACGTGGATGCACTCCCAGTGGCCCTTTTCATTTTCGAAGAAGATTGGATTTATACCCCGTCCTTCACTACCTGAAGGAGTCTCAGAGTGGCTTACAATCTCCTTTCCCTTCCCCTCCCTACAACAGACACCCTGTGAGGTAAGTGGGGCTGAGAGAGTTCTGAGAGAACTGTGACTGGCCCAAGGTCACACCAGCAGCAGCTGCATGTGGAGGAGAGGGGAATCAAACCTGGTTCTCCCAGATTAGAGTCCACGCTCCTAACCACTACATCAAACTGGCTAAACCGGATGTTATTCATTATTAGCACTATTTCGAGCAAAGCAACACAGGGACAGGGGGTTCATACAGCAAATTTCCTTCCGTTAATGAGCCATCTCTGAAGTGCTGTGGTCATTTCAAACAGTGCTGCTTTCCCCCCCTGCCCTTTTTCGCCACACAATCTTCCTTGTACTCTTTTTATACGTTCTAAGGTGGAGTCAATGCATCTCAATGGTGCCACTATAGCACTCACCTGAGAATGACTTTTTGAAGTACAAGGAAGATCACACAGCAAAAAGGGGCAGCGGGGGGGGGGGGGCAGCATTGTAGGAAGCGCTATGGGCATTTTAAGCAGCACACCACTGTGATTCAGAAGTGCAGCAAAGGTGTTGAAAATGGATAAAAAACAGTTTCCCTCAAAAGCAAGCAGGTTTGTATGAACAGGCAAATAAATTCTGCTCGCAGCTGGCTACTAAGACAGGTCCGTCTGAAATGACAGGTAAAAATCCATTAGCAACCAGCTACTAAGGTGGAATACAAAGGCAGTTTGAAGAGAGTCTCTGTGTTAGTTTCTCTCTTTATTTATTTATTATTACATTACATTTATTAATCGCCTAACCCCCACGATTGCAGGGCTCTGGGCGACGTACAAAGTTTAAAACCCTAAAAACCGTATCCAGCAAATGATCCAGTAATTAGAGCAAGTGGCTAACATTTCTTGTATTTAAGCACATAAGAGACATAAGAACATAAGAGACGCCAAAGTTGGATCAGGCCAAAGGCCCATCCAGTCCAACACTCTGTGTCACACAGTGGCCAGAAATACCAGTGCCATCAGGAGGTCCACCAGTGGGGCCAGGACATTAGAAGCCCTCCCACTGTTGATCCCCCCCCCCAAGCACCAAGAAGACAGAGCATCCCTTGCCCCAGAGCCCCTATCTATACCTTGTGGCTAATAGCCACTGATGGACCTCTGCTCCATATGCTTATCTAATTCCCTTTTGAAGCCGTCCATGCTTGTAGCACCCACCACTTCCTGTGGCAGTGAATTCCATGTGTTAATCCCTCTTTGGGTGAAGAAGTACTTCCTCTTATCCGTTGTAACCCGACCGCTCAGCAGTTTCATGGAGTGCCCACGAGTTCTTGTATTGTGAGAAAGGGAGAAAAGTACCTCTTTCTCTACCTGCTCTTTCCCATGCATAATCTTGTAAACCTCAATCATGTCACCCCTCAGTCGTCTTTTCTCCAAGCTAAAGAGCCCTAAGCGCTTTAACCTTTCCTCATAGGGAAAGTGTTCCAACCCTGTTATCATTGATTTCCCTCCCATATCTGGTCCGCGGGTGCTCCGCAAGCGCAGGGGAGGGAGGGAGCTCTGTAAGGAGCAGGGGGTCCGGGTAGGGTGCCGCCCATGATGCAAAAACGTCGCTGTCCTCAGCCAAACGCCTGGCGGAACGTCTCTGCCTTGCAGGCCCTGCGGAACTCCCCCCGGGCCCTGACGTGATTGGGCAGAGAGTTCCACCGGGCCCTGACCGAGGACAGCTAGATCCCTCTAGGGCCGGGGGCCACCAGCGCGTTGTCCTGTGACGAGTGCAATGCTCTCCCAGGGGTGTAAAAGTCATCTATAGATAACGTTCTGTCATCTATGACTTTCCGGACACATGAGGATGAGGCTCCCTTTCATAAATAGCCGGGATGCTCAAGGCTCAATTGTTTTTAGTGAAATCAGAGCCACCCATTCAGACAGAGACCTACCAGCTCCCTGCGATGATGACCAGGGCATCCAGGCCTTTCAGCAAGAGAGCCTTCTTCAGAGCTTTCAACAGGTTGCAGCCTCCGCTGGGCTTTAGCGCCTTCACCCATTGCCTGATTTCATATAAACTAGGAGGAGGAAAAGAGAAGAAAGTGGAAAGCTACGCGTGGCACAAAACCTCTGGGGGCTTATTTGCTTACTTTATTCGTACCCCACCTTTCTCCCCAGCGTGGACCCAAAGTGGCTGACATCGTTTCCCTCTCCCCCACTTTGCCCTCACAACAACCCTGTGAGGTAGGTTAGGCTGAGAGCGTGTGACTGGCCCATGATCACCTAGTGAGCTTCCATGGATTTGGACTGGGGTCTCCAAGATGTTAGACACTTTAACTACTACACCGTGCTGGATAGATGTGCTGCATAGTCGGGACAAAATGTCAAAGATGATCCTGTGGACAGAGCCCCAAAGTCACACACGCAGGGTTGCCAGGTCCCTCCATCGATTCGGCACGGGGATTTGGGGGGGGGGCTTCCTGAGTGGGCGGGGATGCCCCCAAGTCCCACCCCCAAGAGACATCACCTGCCCGGCCACCCCTTTCCCTCTCCTCCTGCCCGGGTTAAAGGGCTTCAGCTGATTGGCGGGGACCACGTGGCCCACCAATCAGCCGGAGGGCCCTTTTAATCTAGCAGGAGGGAGGGAGAGGGGCGGTCATGGGCCACATGCCTGGCTTGCAAAAAGACCCTTTAAAGGGGCTGCGGCATGCAGGGCTGGGAAAAAACAGCCCGTGCACTGCAGCCCCCACCCCGCTCGTAAAAAGACCCTTTAAAGAGTCTTTTTGCAAGTGTGTGGTCCACAACCGCCCCTCTCCTTCCCTCCTGCTAGATTGGGTGGATCCCGGAGCGCACGCGCGCAAAGCACGCATGCACCGCACGCACGTCACCAGGAAGTGACGTTATGATGCTGGGCATGCTGGGGGCGGGGCCATGACCATGCAAGGGAAAACCATAGAGTTTTCCCTTGTATGGCCATGGCCCCGCCCCCAGCGTGGCCAGCGTGTCTGTGTCACTTCCGGGTGACGCGCACGTCGGGGAGGAGTTAGGATCCCTACCCCAGAAGCAGGG